GACAGGAGGGAGGCTTTTGACCGCTTTTGGTCAACGCCTCCACATACCAGTCAATGCCCGCCCACGTCGACTGAATCCACTGAATCCGTGGCAACCGGTGGAAGGTCTGCGCCAAGAGGTTCGGGTCTCCAAACAGTATCTCCGCCTCCTGGAGGTCTGCGATCTCTTGGGCACCGATTTGTAGACCCAGTGAAAATTCACCAGGGTATTCTGTATGGTTATCATATATATAATTAGCAATTCTCTCAATTTATAACACCTAGCATAATGACCATGTTAAATTAAGGTTAAAAAATTAATTTAGCGCTAATTTAATGAATAATGTATTATGTTGGCCTTTTTATAATACACAGGTTTGTTATGATACTAATATGGTATTCAACATATAAAAGTACCTATTTAATATATTTGTTTATTTAGCACAATATCTGTGTAAATGTTTTGGTACTTTATGTTAGTAAGCTATTACAGCAAATACTGGCACTATTGTATATGTAGTAAAATACCAAATTGTCAAACATGTTACAGCAATATATCACACAAAATGATAAACATACGAAATGTTTGATTTAAAGTTTTTGTAAATAAAACTACAAACGATCGCATGTTTTCACTTATATTTAATTGCAATTAATACTAAAACTATATTTAATTAAAACTTTTTTATAAAAACTTTTATTTGGTGTCTGTTTGAAATAAAATTCAAGTCAAATAAAGCAAAACACGTGACAAACATTGGGCTAACATTTTGTGGTAAATATGAAAATTATTATTTAAATTGAGTTTTAATTGAGATATGAATCATAAATAATGAATGAAATGCTAAATACGTGTCAAACGGATGTTAATGACCCGACAGTTGGCCAATGCTTTGGCCGTCAATTCATACAACTGTGGGATTTGAGACAATATATACACCACTCGTGACATCGCTTTCACTGATTATTTGAGCAAATATTCAATTATTACTTCATTGAACACAAAACAAACTTAATTTTGAATTAATTTCCCAAAATTAATATAATATAACTTAATGTTAAAGTTTATATAGAAATTAATTTTGATATTCAAACGATTCAAACGTTGAATGCATTGATAGGTTAGAGATAGTTATTGCAGTACTTGTAATGATAAATGAGACCAAGTACACTACAGTGGAGTACAAGTTGTATGATAATCATAACATTAACACTATTTGTAGTTATCCTTGAGTTGAATCTCAATTAATATAAACTTTTCATAATTTATGTGATTTCTTATCAATCGATTCATTGATTAAATGCATTTGAATTGATTTTTATATTCACATAAAGTTTTGTTCAGTTTTATAAGCTATACATTACTATCGATTTATGGGTTGAAGTACTGGCGCTCTACCACTGCCTTAACTGT